CGTAAATGTGCATTACATTATGTAACCTGTTAACATGGGTTTTCTTAGGTTAAATTGCATCTCTGATTTCAGACGCGTGATTCGTGTGAATGCATCTCTACCATCCAAATCATTTAAACACCTACCCTTTTTAGTCCCAATCTCCTATTCTCTTCCTACGAATCTACAATCTCTTCACCTCCTCCAACCCAAACCTAGCTCCTCACCTTCTCCATCCTCTCCCCCTCCCGCCAGTGACGAAGCTCCACCTTACCCCCTCTCCTTTTATTCTCCTCCACCTACATCTCCTCACCTCAACACGAGAAGCCTTAGCTCCTCCATCTCCTCCACATCACTAGTTCCTCCCTCATTGACTCACCCCTAACTCCTTTCGATATCTCCAACTCCTATCCCTCTCGACAGCGATGAACTGTGCTCCTTCTACAACTCCTCTAGTTTTGCTCCTCTAAAACTCCTCCGACTACCGACTATCGACAGCTTCTGCCGACTCCAGTAAGGTCAATTTTTCATTTTTCAGTCACTGTTATAAATAACAGTAAATAGCCCCGTAATACCGACGCTAATAGCGTTAACGGTCCCTTCCCGCGACGCTATCACCCGCTACGCTATCGCACAATAAGTGACATATTACAGAATATGTTTGTTTACAATAGCGGTCAATAGTGTCATAACGGTAAATAGTAAGCGATTGCATTCGAAATTTGCTTTTTGACTGCTATTTAAAAACGGTTTGAGACTTATTTTTTAAAATTAAACTCAACCATTGACCATTATATTACACCGTCTCCTGTGATTTTCAGCATACTCCCGCCACCTTTCATAGCCTCTGACATCTACCTTGATACTTCCTCTCATCTCCTTCATTGTGAGCTTCTCTTAGGACAGTCCTGTCACCGCTAAGCTCTTCTTCTCGAAGACGATGACTTTTTGACTCCTCCAGTCATCTTCGGTATTACGTGATGGTTACATATCTATTTCATGTTTAGGATCTCTTTAAATCATCCAATATGTACTTCTAGATTTCTTAGATTTTTCTTTTATTTTTTTTTAGTATTTATACATATCTAAATTAGACCGCTATTTGACTTTGCGCTTTTTATCGCTATTTTGCCATAATAGCCCGAAATAGCCTTAGCGATACCTCACCGCTACGCGACGCTATCCGCTATTGATAACCTTGTTTTCAGTTATGGATTAAGCATTTCAGTTTTATATCCTTTAAATATATGATAGTTCTGAAATTACCTTCCAAATTCTAATCTTTTATATTGCCAATTTATCCTAAAAATCATACCAAACTTGTTGCTCTATTACTTTATCATTCAACTTAATTTTTTAAGATCTGTCACAGAATTAGAGTACAAAGATTAATTAGTGGGTTAATTATGTTTGTGAGATAATTACTTTCAGTTATTATTTACTTTTGATTAGGCTTTAGTTTTTAGTTTTCAGTTAATAATTGATTTTGTGAAATTAAGTTTGCACTTTGCAATCACTGCACATAAAAATTTTCTTACTGTTATTACTTAATAATGTCTGGTTTGGTTGATGTAGTGAACTTGATTAGGAATTAGAATATTTTGTGAAGTTAAGAACTCAATGTGCCTAAGAATTTGAAGTTAGTCAAGTTTGATATGATTAGTGATCGATAGGGTTTGTTTGGGTTTTTTTTTTGTAAATTGGTAATTAAATTTGTATGTTTGTTTTTTAATATATGCAAAAGTAAAGGATATTGAACAGTGTCTACGAGTTTAGATCCCATGAGAGAGAATGCTATTATGAAAGAAGGGGAACTGCCACAACATCTCTATTGCAAGTATTGCAATCACCGTATCACAACGACTGTAACACAGTTTAAGCATCACTTAGCTAGTATCAATAAAGGGGTGAAGAAATGTGAAAAAGTTCCAAAAGCGGTGAAGAAGTATTTTGAGGATGTTCTAAAAGGAGCGAAAATTGTAAAAGAGAAGAATGTTGCATTGATTGAATTAATTGGAAGAATAGATGACAACTCAATTCAACAAAAAATTGATAGCTTTGAGGTATAAAGCGAACGTGGTAGCAATAGCTAAATCCAACAGCCTAGAACATTTGGATTATTGGTCCAATTTGTTAATACTGAGGCAGTCAAACAACGATAGAGGGCAGAGTCAAAAAAGAAGAAAGGAAGGTGGTGGTAAACAAGATCAATCAATATATCTTTGCTAACAGGTTGTTCAACTTTTTGAACAACCAATATACCAACCCCGAGTTAAAGCTTCCTACTCTTTCTAAAATAAAGACGCGAGTGCTTAAAAAGAAGTGGAAAATATAGATACTATATAGGCAAAATATAAGAAGGCTTAGGAAAAGTATGGTTGCACTCTTATGTCCAATAGATGGTCAAATAGAAAGAGTAGAAGTTTGATTAACTTCCTCATGAACTCACTGGAGGGAACTTTTTTCTACAAGTTTATTTATGCATTGGCGATTATTAAGAACAGGGAATATCTTTTTGAATGCCTTGCTCCGATGGTGGAGGAGATTGAGGAGAAAAAATGTTCTCCAATTCATCACCAATAATCATGCCTCTTATGTGCTTGTCAGAAAGAAGCTAATTGATAAGATGAAGTCACTTTATTGGTCATCGTGTGCAGAACATTGCATTGACCTAATGTTGAAGGACAATGAGAAAATGAAGATGCACTAGGACACTCTTGAAGATGCAAAAGGAGTAATTCAATTCATCTACAACCATTATTGGGTCTTAAGCTTAATGAGAAAGCACACAGGTGGGAGGAGTTATTGAGGCCTATTGTTACTCGCTTTGGCACATCCTCCTTGACACTACAGATGTTACATTCATTAAAAGAACCTTTGAGGGTTATGTTGTCTTCTGAGGAGTTCCAAAGGAGCACTTGTACGAAGAAGCCAAAAGGAGTGGAGGCAAAAGAGAATGTTCATTACACTAGAGAATTTGGGGACAAATTTTTTTGCTTCACTACCATAGAAGTGGATTCGAATGTGGCCCTCTATATCATACTCGTATGAGATGATGGACAATGGAAAGGAGAACATTGCAGTTTGCAGTTTATATTCTTCATAGGAGAGATTTGGCGATGACACTCCAAATCTAAAGCGACTTGCAGTTTATATTCTCTCCCTCACTACTAGTGCATCCGAATGCGAACGCAATTAGAGCATTTTTGAGCAAGTACGGAAAATATCAATTCTAAAATTCAACTTATATGTTTAATCTCAAAAGCTTATAAGTTGTAGTTCTTTGATGATGGTCCACTCAAAAAAGAGATGTCATCAGGAGCAAGAGCATCTTAGTTCTCTTGTTTATGTCATGTACAATATTAAGCTAAAAGAGAGAAATATGCTAAGGAAGGCGTGGAAAATAGATATGATTTTGTTGGATGAGGTATCTCTCAATGATCAGTGGATAGTCGAGGAGCCGTGTCTTCCGGACGATCCGAGTTAGCCAGATGGTGATGGGGAGAGGGAGCATCTCAATATTGCGGCAATTAACAACCTCGCTACTGCAAAAGAAGACGAGGAAGATGCTCCAATGACAAAGAAACAAAGGGTTGATGGCTCTTGTAAGCTTCCTCAAAACTTTTAATGTTATGTCTATTTGCATGAATACTCGAGTTTTTAATTAAAATTATTTCCACAGCATCCACCACGCAAAAAGAAAAAGAGATCGCCACTGAAGATGAAGTGGATCCTAAAGATGCAAATTACTCTCTAGATGAGGATGACTTGGTTATTTATTGTGAAATGGATCTACATGATGGACTTATTTTGTAGGATTTATTAATGCTCGAGAGTTGGAAGTGTTTTGTTTTGTTTACACTTGTTTTTATTCCTTTAAACTTGATGAGATTGACTTATTTGATCATTTGATTATGCTTTTTTGAATGGTTGTTAGTCATATATGACTAACTTTTGTTAAGAAATTGTGATATTGTATTTCTATATTTGAAAATTGTGATGTTATGATTGAAAAGTTTGAGTTTGATTATTCTAAGTATTAAAGTTATTTTGAATTACTAGTATTTATAAGACATCTAAATAATTAATAAACAATATAACCTATGTTATGCTTTACATTTTTTACATTTTTTTCCCTTAACCTTTAACAAAAGGTCAAACATTACACAACTCATTTTTGTTACTCTCAACAGTGATTATAACCCTCAACACTCACCACAACTTCGCAGTTTTGTGCAATGGACCTTTGACATGGTATCAAAGAAACTCAGGTTCAAATCTTACCAGCGGCCACAAATTACAAGTGGATTTTTAAAAAATAATAATCCATGAGTCCAGGTTTTGGCCCATGAAAGGGCACTCAAACTACGGGGCATTTTAGAATATTAAATTACATCCCTCAACACTCTCACTACAACTTCAAAGTTTTGGTGTAGTGGCAGGAACTTTTGACACAAATAAGTATCTAGAATTTGATGGAAGTGAGGACGCACGAGTCAAGGGAGGCATGAGATGAAGAATGTATTAACATATAGGTGTACAAAGCGAGAGTGCAGGTGAAATTTTGATAGAGAAATGTTTGAAACGCATCATGAGCATGCACAACGAAGTGACAAGAAAGCTGCAAGCATGGGGTTCTCAATGGCACCAACTATGAAGCATGATCCAGAGGCAAATCACAAATTGTTCCATTCGTGTAATCTAATGTTGATTTATACCATTCTTTTATATAACCTTCTGAGTACGACTTACGTCCAAAGCCACATAATTCTCCCACGATCAAAAGCTTCTTTCGCAACTACATTTGTAACTTATTTATTAGATTCGTTGAAAAAACTGCTTCGGTTGACCCAAAATGTCCTAATTGCATGCAACTGTTGGAACGAACCAACCGACCTCTAGGCATCACAACCGAGTTTCGACCAAAACATTGCAATGAAAACCAAACCGATGACATAAGAAAAACATACTCATTGTCATCGCGTAATTTGATCAAATTAAATAGGGAGAGCAAAACCTACCGAGCCCAAGACAAGGAATGCACTTGCAAACAGTCTCCCTCCCCTTCTTACTATAATAGCTCACCCATCCCGTCCCCTGGCAGCTCCGGCACTTGCCCGTCCACTCATAGACCACCTCCCTACAATCCTAAACCAACAAAAAAAAGGTAAAACTAAAACTAAAACTAAAATCAAAACAAAAAACCCATTTGAATAGGACCAAAAAAAATAAAGCAAACCTCGACTTGCGGATCGCAGCGCAGCCGCTTGTCGATCTCATCGGCGGTGACCGGAGACGAGTCGGGATAAGTCATGGGAAGAGGGAGGGCCTCAGAATCGTCGACCAAGTAGCTCTCCCTGTCTCGAGACCACCACCACCACTTCTTGTTCTTCTTCTTCTTGTTGTTGTCGCCGCTGTCAGCCTCTTTGGCTTTGGGAGTGGAGATTGGGCGGGAGGAGGGGGAGTTCGCCGGGGTCCGGAACCAGTCGGAGGAGGGGGAAGCGGAGGAGGGGGAGGAGGAGGAAGTGGCGGGGGGGGGGGGGGGGGGGGGGGGGGGGGGGGAGGGGAGAGGGTTTGGAGGAGGTGGGGTAGGTTTTGGGGAAGGAGATGGGATTGAGGCCGGAATTGGGGAGGACGGACATGATTAGGGTTTGGGCTCAGAGGTCATTGCTCCTCCTCCTCCTTCCCCTCCTCTTATTAGGGTTTTTGGGTCTGAGAGCAAATATGTTTTGTCCATTCAAATTACACGTGCAAATGCGCATGCAATCTACATTAAAACCCCTTTCTCTAAATTTTTGTGAAAAAGATAATTTTAATATTCTAAAGTTTAAGATTAACGGTATGCAAGTTGAGGGGTAATAGCTGTTATATTGTTTTTTTTTCTTTTTTTCCCCCTCTTGTAGACAAAATTAAATATCTTATAATTTGAGGGGCATATATGAAAAAGAGCTTTTAATTCTTCTGATTTGAGGGAGGGACAAGGTGCCTTTATTGAGAGAGTACTAGGAGAAAATATCAATTCTTCCAAATTTTTCCATAATTCTCATTTTACTATTGTTACTATCTATACTAAGGGCGTGTTTGGATTGAGGAGCATACGAGAGAATTGAAGTTAAGGGAAACCACTCATATAATTCCCTCCGCTTGGAAATCTATTAGAGGGTCGAGTGTTCCTCCTAGTCCCTTAGTTCATCGCCAAGCAATACATATCTAGGTCATCGCCAAGCAATACATATCTAGGCTTCATCTGTCTAAACTACTGTTGAATATGAGAAAAATAGCAGTTAAGCAACTGAGGTGGACTAAAATTGTCATAAGTCAACTTCTAGTCAAAACTAGACAAAATAGGGGTGAACCAACTATAAACTACGTAGCACGGTGTGGCACTAAACTAACAAACTATGAGGGGCAGAACTATAAAGAAACCACTTATTGACTCTAGGAAGGTAAAACTGTCCAACCGCATAACCCGATCTGAGACTGATTATTCCTACAAGCTAGAGAAAAATGGCAGAAAACAAATCTAGGGGTCGTCAGGCAAGCGACCCACAGCAAGTATCAAGCGAGAAAAACAAATGAAGACTAAGGTAAGATAGAGAATATCCTGAAGGATACACTCACAGAGATCCCACATGGTGAACAGATAAAAGATGGACCAACCAGCGGAAAGATATGCAAGTGTCCAAGATGTTGAAAACGTCTGAAAACAATTATAAAAGCAATGCAGATCGAAACCAGAACCAAACTGAAATTAATCAACCAAATATGCATGCCTTGTGGTCATTACTATCTAGATCTACTCATGCAAAGCAACTCATCAGAATATAAAGTGGATTAATTACATGTTTCGTACCACTTTCTTAACCCAAACAAGATTCTCATAATAAGTATCTTATTTGGAAAGATCTTTGCTAAGGATATATGTACAGGTCATAATGTAGGATCCGACGGTTTGGTACCAATCAAACCCCTCCATAATGATCATCTCTTCACATAAGCACTACACGGCCCCACAGATCAATGAAGATTCAATCCCCAAAATTAAAGCCATCAGATTACTTTTCCTTAGCTTGCTATATATAAAATGTTATGCACTAATCCCGATAATCTCAGCTCATAGAAAATATACTATTATGATACTCAAAACTGGTCTAAATAGTATCGACTAGTGTTCAATCAGCCCTCTATGTCTAGGAGCTCAAAGAAAATGAAATCTTGAATCAAGAATCCACACACATTATCTCATCTCATAACTCCTATAAATGGGGAATTCCACACGTAATCCAGTACTCACGAAGAGATATCATAGATGTATTACAAAAGCCAAATGAATCAATAATCAAAGAAGATTAAATAGAAAATTCCTTAAAGGAGTATGCTAACTAGTAATATCGCATCCAGGCAACATGATAACAGAAATGGATCTTGACTCATGCACGAGTGAGCCCAAAATCCATGGTCTAATATAATCTACTCAAAATCTATAATATACGGAGTTCATCTTTCATGTATAGTAAGATCGGGGCAACCATCTAAAATCATCAAAGTCGGTGATAGAAACTATATGAACATATTATAGCATCATAATACATACCAAAACTCACAAAATATGATCTAGACATATGGAAAGCAAATATGTATATTTTCCAGAGAATTAGATTTTAGATGATTCTTAGAAATCCTAAAACTTCACCAAACACCAAGCTATGTGCAAATATACCTTGTCATGGGTAATCATTCACTTCAAGAAAACTAATGAAGAAAAGAAAAATGAAGTCGAAAGTTGAAATCTCAAAATATACACAAAATTAGAATTTGCCATATTGCAGATTAAGCGCATGTGCTCTATAGTTTAACGTGTGTGCTCGGTGACATGCCACAATTAGATAAGTGGAGCATCCCCTTCTTAAATAGAGCCTCTGCTTGATCAGATGCACACTGTTAGGTCTCATGTTTATGAGCATATATATCTAATCTAGTTTTGATGATTAACAAATAATTCTTATCGTCATGTTGTCGAGTGTTTACATTTGTTTGTTAGGTAAAACTACACAAATAACCTCTTGTTGGAGGTTGGATGGGCTTGCGCATTCACGATCATATCCATTGGAGGATAGAAGGAATATCGGAATGAAGCCATTTGCAATTCAAGATCAAGCTTCATCCGCAATCAAGACGAGCTATATTGAAGATTTTCATCTTGGGTAATAGTAGTTTAGGTTTATACTTTGTGTGTTTATACTTAGAGCTCAAAATTCATACACACACATTTATTTTGATTTATCATTTATTTTGATTTATCACCATTTTGGAATATAGACTTAACAATATGATTTTATATCTTTCCTCAAGTCTATAAATCTATTTTAAAATGTTTCAAAACTTGTTTGAAAGAAATTCGTCAAAATCAAGTTTTAACAAGTTCACGTTCATGCATGTTTTTTGCAAAACATATGAGTTTTCACAAATGAAAAATACAATTTGAAAACTTCTTTTTCTAACATGTTCTATTACATGTTTATAACCGTTTCCCAAAATTTTATCATTTTGGAGGAGATTTACTATGTCAAATTGATTTTACAAAATCGAGCGTTTTAATAGTTTTTAGAATCTGTAGTAATATCTGTTTTAAAACTATGATTTCTCACAAATGGAAAGTGATATTTTTCAAAATTCTTTCCCTAACATGTTTATCTACATATTTAGAAACTTTTCTTAAAATTTCATTACTTTTGGAGTTGATTTGCTATTTTTAATTGATTTTATAAAGTCAGATGAGTAGATTTTTAGGTTTCATATTCTGCGAATAGTATCGATGAACAGTGCGGTCGACCGAACACTGTTTATCGGTTGACCGAACACTGTTCATCGGTCCACCGAACAGTAATTCGTTGCAATAACGGCTAGTTTTTTTAGATTTCGATTTTTGATGTTTTTCTTGGATTTTGGGCTATTGTTTTGAGCAACTATAAATACCCCTCAGCCCTCAACACTTATATAGCTCTAAGAAAAGTTTAAAACAAGTTTACAAGTGATTTAAGGGTGTTTAAATTTGTTTTAGTGTGCTTTATAATTGTTTATGTGAAGAGGTTTTTACAAGAGGAAGAAGAGATCATCAATTCGTGTTTGAGCTTCAATCTCTCATCTCTTTCACTCTTGTTTTCAGAGAAGTTTTCTCTAAACTCAATTTCTAGCTTTATATAAATATTTGTTGTTGATTATCATTTTCATTAAGCTAGACTTCATATTGATTTTATTTTTGTTATTGCTCATTGATTACACACACCCACCTGAGCTTAAGTATTTCATACATAATATATTAGGGTTGTGAGAGTGAAACTTTGAGTGTGGGCTTAACTGTGTTCTCATCCTTTGTAGAGAACAAAATATTTTATTTGAGTTTTATTGTGAGATACATTTTGTAATACACAAGGACACCGAGAGGAGTGTGTGGTGAGAGACGTAGTCAATTCCAAGAGGAGTGGCGTCGGTAGTAAAACCTAGGGAGAGGTTGTAAATCCGAGTACTTGAGGAAGGTGATACGTGAGAGTCCAACACTTAGAAGGTGTAGTGTGTGATTGCATTGTGTGTGTTGTAAACGTTTATCGGTAAGCGTTGAAAACCGATTGTGAACATTTTCGGTGATCGTTGAAAACCGGTTGGGATAGTGGAGTTCTCCCCAGGAGTGGGGAGCGGAGATGTAGGTCGAGAGTGGTGGAACTTCATGATCATATCGTGTGTTTGAGTTTGCCTTGCCATATTATTTGTGCTCATTGTTTATTACATTCTATATCGTCATTATCTCATGTTTTTTTCTTTCGATTGTGCATATTTATTATGGAAACAGATAGAGGCACATCAAGATAACTTGGAGGAAATCCGACGTGTTCCTGGGGATTCAACTTCAAGTAAAATTAGAGCTTCATCATGCACACAGACGCTAGGTCATAACCTAGTGAGGTATGCAATTCGAATTCCAAAAGTGAATTATCCATTAGTGAACTCGCATGTGCATATGATAGGTTAATGCATGCCTACACTAAGTTGCATAATAATTTTATTAATTTGAAAAGCATGCATGTAGAATTAAAATATGATCATAAGACACTAGTATCAAATTTTGATATCATTGCTAATGAAAATATAAATCTTAAAGAGAGCAATGAAAAATTAAAGTTGGAAAATTCTAGTTTGTTTCATGAGAAAAATAATGCCATGTTAGAAGTAGAAAACATTAAAAATGAAGTTAGTTCTTTTGCTAATAATTATATATGTTCTACTTCTAATAATAATGTAAATGTGACAAATAATAAGTTGAATAATGTTAAAGATCGCATTTCTTCCTTAGATTCAACTCTTACTAGATGCATTGACAACCATAAGAAGCTTCTGAATATATGTGCTAAGTCAAGTACAAATAGTTCAAAATCATCCACTCACTATGCACACATATATAGCAAAATTTACAAGGGTACAATGTGCGGCTGTAAAGGCCATTTAGCTAAGTTTTGCTTTGAAGCACATAAACAATCTAAAATTAATAACACAACTACATGTGCATCTCTAAATCTTCATCATCACATCATGCACACGCACATGCTCATAAAGCTCATCATAAACATGCTCATGTGTATAAATATGATT